TAATCCTTATAACTCGGGACCGGACCATATGCGATCTCTGACGCGGGGTGGGAGTAGATACGAGGTCTTATAATCTTAAAATAAATGCGAATTGTGAACCTTATGTTCGATATATTCTACTTTTATTGTTATAATTATAATTAAAATACATTATGATTATTAATACTTAAAATTATAATTACACTTTACTATTTAACCCTTCCACCACACACCTCCTATTTCAAAATTTTTAACATTGTTAAAAAAAATAGGAAATGTGAAAGAAAAAATGGAAAAAATGACCTTTTCTACTTAAAAAATCATAAGTTTTTTATTTGCCTCTGCTTCTCACCTCATAAGCAACAAACGGGGATGCTCCCCGCGTGATCTGCTTCTAGTAGTGTCGAATAACCGATAGAGGGCGCCACAAGTCCCGTTTCAAATATTAAGGTGGTCAAATCGAAGCGCGAACCGGGACTGGGGTCCCTGGGACCCCGTGTGTGGTGGAAGGGTTAAATTAGGAAATAGTCAGGACTCTATTACATTACGTTAAATAACATTGCGTAAATTCCGTTGCAAAATATTAACGAATGAACAATTCCATTAAATCATATATATATATATTTTTTTGTAATGATAGACCATCAGAGTATAAGCTTCTTGTCAGTCAGTGTTATAGCATGTGACAACAATTTATAAATTCGAAGATGAAATATTCACAGAGTCCAGAGATAAAATTACATATGTATAACTGACAAATACTGACTAACTGGCTATATTTAATTTCAATCATAATATTACTTAAACAATTTTTGTTAACCGCATGTGTGTATGTATGTATGTGTGTTTAAAGTTATATCGGTTATATTTCTTTTATGATGCATGAGGAAGGAGGGAAGAAATTTAAAAAGAAGGCTACGAGGACTAAGAAAGGATGGGGGAAGTGCGGAAGATAAACAGGGATAAGGACTTCGGGTGATTGACCGGTTATGGCATTCCTGATGTTATCGGGATCCGCATCAACAAAATTTATGGTATAAGTATTCGGAGGAAGGGGTTCAGTAGATATTGGAAATTGGGAAAAAAGAGAGGCTAATGACTGGGGATTTCCATGGTGAAAATGGTAGCGAGGACGAGGAGGGGGAAGTTCGTGGAGGAGCTCCAAGCTTGATGAAGAATCAGCGGGAGAGACGGGACGAGGAGATGGAGAGATTGATTGAATAGAGGAATCTGGAGTGAAAGGCGGGGTGTCGGGAAAGATTCGTTCTGTTAGGGCATCCGAAATGGCAGG